AACAATAAACTGAAAACCGTAAGCTCGAAAGCTTAGTGAGTTCCCCCAAAATACCCGTACACACATAATCATACACATACAACAATGAACAGCATACTATGGGTCCAATCAACCGACAGGTTGGAATACCCCAGGCCCTCAACCGTCGGGTTGGAATGCCAACATACTACGAGTCCAATCATCCTCGGGATGGAATACTCTCGGCCCATAACCATCGAGTTGGAATGCCCACACACCTATACATACAATAACTACTATGGGTCCAATCATCCCTCGAGATGGAATACCCCAGGCCCTCAACCATCGGGTTGGAATGCCCACCTACTATGAGTCCAATCATCCTACCGGGATGGAATACTCCTGGCCCACAACCATCGGGTTGGAATGCCCACATACTAGCAAACATGTGCATCTATCAAATAATCATATAATAGTCTACAAGACAATACACTAGGGCCCTATCATCCTACCGGGATGGAATACCCTCCACTACTGCTCAACACGTGCACATATAACAGGTAATCTCCTACCAGCATACAGACAGTCAGGCCAAACTACAGGTCACTAAGCATAGCCACATATAACCATCCTATCTACCAGGATGCTAACTAACATATCACAGCAGTAACTATCTCAAATACAAATCAAAGGGTCGGCCTTGGTGCCGTAGACCCTTGGGTATAGTGAGGATAACTCACCTTGCAACTGCCGAACCGAAGCACGAAAACACTGACCCGAAGCACTGCTCCAAACTCCAACACCTGATGCCATCAATGAACCATGACATAAATATCCAAAATACCATAACACCCCTGAAGGTCAAACAGGTCAAAGTCAACCTTCCTGATTGACTCTACTCGCCGAGTCAACCCGTTGACTCGCCGAGTTCCTAACTTCAGAAAATTCTTATATCACAACTCGACTCGCCGAGTCACCCCATGATTCGTCGAGTTTAACGATCTCTGAGTCCTAACATGTCTAACTCACTGAGTCACCGCTCAACTCAATGATCTGACTCTTAACCAGAAGAGGTTGGGGTTTTGCGTTCTGACTCGCCGAGTCCAAGACCAGACTCGCCGAATCCACGACAATCTTCAACAGACTCGCCGAGTTGTTCCTCCAACTCGTCGAGTTCATGCCTATCTTCAACAGACTCGCCGAGTCCAAGAACAGACTCGGCGAGTCCAAGAACAGACTCGCCGAGTCTCTTCAGTCCTTTATACATGCAGAGGCTTTTCGAGTCTTGCAGGGGCTCCAAACTGTAGATCCACTCCTCTAGGGCATGACTCTCACGTAAAGTTGCAAACTTTACGTGGAAACAAGGATTTATAAGCCCAAACCACTCTAAGGTTAAGGTTTAAGACAAAAGGGCTTCACCAACAACTCAAAACTGATGCTTTATGACTTTCTGGACCAACACAAGTCTAGATCTGAAGTAGCAACCTCAGATCTAAAATCCAAACCCAAAATAGATCTCAATCATACCAAAATGGCCCCAAATATCATTCTTGAATAGATATAAATGCAATAGAGTCAAGGTAACAGCTTGTTACCTCTAAAATGTGCCCAAGTTGAAGTAGATTTTGGATTTACACCAATCCTTTGATGCTCTACACTTGATCTACAAGCCTTCTTTGCTAGAATCTCCTTCCAAAGCTTCCAAGTTCACTCCAAAGGCTCACACACGATTCTAGGGTTTTCTGACTCTCAAGGGGGGGTGACAAAGAGACTGGGGTGAGGACTTAAGGTCCTTTAAATAGGGTGCAAGCCCTAAGATTAGGGTTTTATCTTCCCAGCACCAACTCGTCGAGTCCAGCTTCCGACTCGGCGAGTTGGTCACTTAATTCGCGACCAAATCCCGCTCCGACTCGACGAGTACTCGCACCTACTCGTCAAGTAGCTTCCTCAATGTACCCTTTGAGCCCTTATATCATATTTCTGAAATTTGGGATGTTACAACAGGTGAGAGTCGCGCCTCAACTAGTGCATTGGGTCATGCCGGTCACGTTAGTTGTGAACGAGATACTTGCCTTGGGGTTTTTGCGGTGAATAAATAGACCTTAACTAGGAAGTATTACCATAATAATTACAGTGATGGTAAGCGGTGAATAATTATTAAAATAAAGCGGATATAAATATTACTTAATAATATTTTAGAGGTGAAAAGATAGAAAAGTAGTTTCAGTGTGGTTGAGGAGAGTAACTAAAAAAAAGCTCTAAAAGAAGAATAAAATTAATTGAGCTAAACAGTGTTGGATATGCGGTGTAATGTTTGTTTTTCTTGTGAGTATTTGACTGTGTGGGAATGTGTTGTGTGATCCATTTTTGATATGTGTGTTCTTTTAACATTATACTATAATTGACTCACTTAGCTTATGCCAACACTTGTTCTTTGCTTGTTGATCGATGTGCATTGGAACAGGTAGCTTGACATGATGCCTTGGTGAGGATGGGGAACCCTTTTAGGTAGTTATATTCTAGTTTATGTCTTAGTATTGATACCATTTTGGGCTTGTTGTTAAGCTTTCATCACATTACTTTTGAGAATCTACTATCGTGTAAGTTTTGAAAACTTTTATTTCGATGGACTTGTTTTGATAATAAAGTAACATTGGTGATGTTTTCATAATACTTAAAATAAGCCTTCCGCTAACGTATTTATGGTTAAAACGTGTTTAAAATAAAAAGAAAAAATTGGGTGAAAAATCACGATGTTACACTAGTTATTAAAGTTTGTTTATTTTGGGTCCCATAGTCTTGGATCTTGGGAGTTTAAGCAACTCCAAACATAACGAGGAGTGTTTCTCTTCATTCTAGAGCCTTGTGATCCATAAAAATGGGATATTGGTCTTTCCCTTTCATCCATGCTAGATCTATTAAGCTTATGGGTCATGAATAAGACTTAGGGTTGGATTTTGGTCCCATTGTAGCCATGCAAAGGCATAAAGGTTGCAACTTAATGATTCCAGACGTTCATTAGGGTGAGAATTGAAGTTTGGACGTTAGGTCTTTATGCATTAAGAACATTGGTTAAGAGTTTGGGCTTCAGTTGGTTACGTCGGGCATAATCCTTGAGTACGTTGGGTGTAGTAGGCTGTTGCCACGTAATCTTTCCAAGATCAAGCTGGGGCGTAACCATTGAGTACGTTGGGTGTAGTAGGCTGTTGCCATGTAATCATTTCAAGATCAAGCTGTACGTTGGGCATAATGGGGAGTATGCATGATGTAGTCCCATAAACCCATTTGGGCCATTTTTAGGCCTTAGACCATTAGGGGTTTTGGGCCTTGTATAGTTGTGTCATGTATAGGAAGGGCGAAATGGTTAATGGTCTTTTACCCTTAGTAAGATAAAAGATGATTTGGACCATTGATTATGGGTTAAAACCCCGATTATTAATTAGGGTTGACTTTGGGTTATGACCAGTGTAAGGAGCCGTGGTAGCAGTAGCTCGAGTGTGTGATTTGTTTATCTTTAGTTAGAGGCGAGTCTTCTCACTGTGCTAGTGGGTCGAAAGGACCAATGCCGACCCACTAAATTGTGTATGCAAGATACTAACTGTCTTTGTGATTCTTGCATGTTTGTATGATTGGTTTGAAATAAACCCCAGGGCTTGGCTCATTATTTTATGATTATGTTGAAACAAACCCCAGTGTTGGGTCCAAGGATGGGCCCATGAGTATATGATGGGTTGAAAGAAACCCTAGGGCCGGGCCCATAATTGTATGTTGGGTTGGAATATACCCTAGGGCTAGGCCCGGTTGTATGTTTAGTATGTGCTACTTTGGGGAACTTAATAACCTTTGTGCTTATAGTTTATGTTTATGATTTCAAGTACTTCTGGTATGAAAGGGAAGGGCCCGACGTGATGACACAACAACCCCTCATGATTCCGCACTTGTTTTCATCTGTACTCTGATGTTTTTTTGATAATTTGTTTTGTGGTTGACTTTGTGATACCTGATGTAAGAAACTATTGGTTTTTAAAACGAAAATTTTTATCGTTGTGTTTGGGTTGTTTCAAATTCCCTCTTCACGAACATCATCTCATACTCCTTGATCTTAAAAACCATTTCCTCTACTTCGCTTTGAGGAATTGTCACAACTTATTTGCAAAACACGTAATGTGAAAGTAAAGGACCCCCTCTATCCTGGCATGAATATCTAACCACCTACGAAGACATGTTTTTTCAGAACATAGCCATGCATGGCTGTCGGTCCCTGAGTCTCGCAAGAATATCCGCAGCAATAACATGTTTGCAAGGTAGTGTAATAGAAGCATAAAAAACCTTGTCATGCTGCAAAAGAAAAACTACTTGGAAGCTAATTCAGGGGTGTAAATAGTGTTTTAGAACGAAAAGCGATGACAATTCCAGAATTGTTCTGCGCATTCCTGACTTGTTCTTCACATTCCAGAATGGTTATTCACATTCCAGACTGGAATACCATTCAGTGTGCCGGAATACCGAATTTCGATGTACAATAATGTAAGACACTAACTAAACTAGTTTTTTTTGGGTTAGTCCCCACACTAAATAACATTTCTACAACACTGTCCGACAAACATGTTTTTCGTGTTCCAGAGTAACTATTTTACACCAATAATCATAAAATTAAACAACTACAAGTGAAGGAGTCAAGAACTGACACGTAACTCTTCAAATTTATCAGAATTGTATGCCATATCTTCTTTGCCTTTTTAGTCTGATAAATATTTCGACATATGATTTTGTACAAATCTGTCCGGAACGTGTCGGAATAGATAACGGGCATTCCGAAATGTGTTGGAATGGTCCTGCGGGGCAGATCACTGGAGTCCAAAATGATCTTCGGAATAGGTGATTCCAGGATCGACGATCGAGACTAATGCACATTACACCCCTTACTTATTCATAAGTAGTTTTGCATATAAATGGGCCATAATTGTTTACTCTTAAGTATTTTTTCATTTAAATGGGTCAGGGTACTCGCCAACCCAATTGAATAGCCCATATCTTACTTGACTACTAACTACTCAGAAGTCAGACCTCGGTGGCTGCTTCCTCTCTCAACCCTAAATCTTCGTATCTTCTACGTCCTGCGACCACGAAAGAGACATAGCGATGTCAATGGAGAATCCTCCAGGGAAACAAGGAGTTGAATCACTATCTCTTACTGCAGGGGATGAATCCTCCTCTTTGAATCCGTTGAATTGTACCACACAGTAAGTTTCATCTCTAATCTACCCACGTAGGGTGTTTTTTTTGGCTATACATTGAGATTTTCAAATGTGTTTGAACTTAATTTGATTGGATTGCGACTAAATTGGACCCCTGTATCATTTTTCCATGAGCGTACCAGTAATCATTAATTTGTTTTATAGAATCAACTTCATTTTTGTAACTTGATGAAGATGTACTTGCTTCTATTCTCTCCTCCCATTTCTAAGTTATTAAACAAAAAATTCGGTGGTGTTTAGGATGAGTGTTGAAGAAAAATTCAGGATTGTGAGGAGTATTGGAGAAGAATGCATCCAGGAGGAAGAACTGTTGAATCTTCTTACCAAAAAGCCCCAACCCATCTGCTATGATGGGTTTGAACCCTCTGGCCGAATGCATATTGCTCAGGTATGTATGTGGATTTAACTATCATCTAAAGAAGGTTTAAATTTCAATATTGGGTGTTTCTTGCTGTATAGGGTGTTATGAAGACGATCAATGTTAATAAACTGACTTCAGCTGGTTGCAAAGTAAAGATTTGGATAGCAGATTGGTTTGCTCAATTGAACAACAAAATGGGTGGAGATTTAAACAAAATCCAAACTGTTGGACACTACTTAATTGAAATCTGGAAAGCTGCAGGCATGAATTTGGAAGATGGTAAAGTAGAGTTTATTTGGTCTTCTGAAGAAATTAATTCAAGGGCACATGAATACTGGCCATTAGTCATGGATATTGCTAGAAGAAACAAACTTCCTAGAATAATGAGGTAGTTATAAATAAATTAATTTGTTAATTTTTATAGTAATATCCTAATTTTATTAATCTTGTTATCTTAATTGTACTTTTAGGTGTTGTCAGATTATGGGTCGAAGTGAGCAGGATGAACTGACTGCAGCCCAAATCTTCTACCCATGCATGCAATGTGCTGATATTTTTTTCCTCAAGGTTCTTGTTTAAATCTTTTTGCAAGGGTAAAATAGTCATTTTATAGTTTATGATTTTATTTAGTTATTAAAGAAACAAATTTGGTCATTTGAATAGGCTGATATCTGTCAATTAGGCATGGATCAAAGAAAAGTTAATGTTCTTGCAAGGGAGTACTGTGATGACATCAAAAGAAAAAACAAGCCTATCATATTATCTCATCGTAAGGGCAATTTTGTAAACTTGCTTTTATTTCCAATTTTACCATTTTTACTTGAAATATCAAAATGGTTGTTGTTTATTATGTAGATATGCTTCCGGGTTTGTTACAAGGACAAGAAAAGATGTCAAAATCTGATTCTTCTTCTGCTGTTTTTATGGAGGATGAAGAGGTAAAAATTTTTCAATTTTGGGAGTAAAATATAAATAATATGAAGTTGTAATTAATTTGTATGAATGATGAATTTGATAGGCTGAGGTTAATTTAAAGATAAAGAAAGCATATTGTCCACCCAATATTGTTGATGGGAATCCATGTCTTGAGTACATTAAATACATTGTATTCCCTTGGTTTAATGAGTTCAAAGTTGAAAGGAAAGAGGAAAATGGAGGCGAAAAGTGAGTTTTAAAATAAAAATAAAAATAAAAATAAAAAACCTTTTTTCTTTTAAATTTTATTAACATTTTTCTTGAATGTCAGGGTTTTTACCAGTTATGATGAATTAATTGATGCTTATGCAAAAGGGGAGTTGCATCCTGCTGATTTGAAACCTGCACTATCCAAATCTTTGAATAAGATATTGCAGGTATAAAATAATAAAATATGCATATTTGGTATTTTTATTTTAATATTTTTTTTTGTTGTATGTGTGTTGTAGCCTGTGCGTGACCATTTCAAGAATGATGAGAAGGCCAAGGCTTTACTGAAGAGGGTTAAGGTATGGTTTGTTCCCATGCTAAAATTTATAATGCATAAAGTATTCTAATTGGCTTAAATTAAAAAAAATAAGTTGTTAATATAGTATTAATAATCTTTGTGGTTTAATGTAGGCTTTCAAAGTTACAAGATGATGGAAGTCTTTTAGTGAGTGGATGAGAAGATGGGAGTTTAGTCATATTAAACAAATTGTTCAAATTTTCTTCACATTATATTTTATATTTTGCATCAACTGCTTTCATTACTTTTTGGAATAGTAACACTTGAAACACAACCTTTTGGAATACTAACACTTTAAACACAGATTGGTTTTAATTATTTTGGAAGAATAACAACATACTCTCTTACTGCATAAGAAAATAATTATTTTGGAAGAAATAATATTCTTAGGTATATTTGTTTGTATTTTTGATTATATAAACTAGTATACGACTAATACAACTGTTTTTAAACTAGTAATCGGCAATAGAAGTAAACCTTAGGACAACTAACTTATTGTAGCATAGAACAATAAGAAGTTTTTTTTTGTTCAAAATAGTGAATTATGAAACTTTTGTATTTTTCTTTAAAGACAAAACAATTGATTTGTTATGTGCTTTTAAGAAAAATCATTTATTTCCGATCTATACCTAAAAAAAAAAAGTTTCTGTTGATGACTTGATGTTATGGAAAGCCCATTGCGGTTTTATTAATTAACTAAATAAATAAATCGATGTGTGCTAAGTTAACAAATTATGTTGTAGTCGAGTTGGTTAGGATATTCGCCGGGTTTAAGTCCCAACGGAAGATAATTCTTTGGACATTTTTATATCAATTAAACTTTCTATCAGTACATTTCTACTTTATTTTTATGAAGGAAATCATCACAATTTTGCTATTTGATTATTCTCGTATCATATCAAATTCATGTAATTATTTTATCATATTACGAAATTTCTGTTGGTAGCATTTATACAATAATCCAGCCTCTTATTATTATTATTATTATTATTAGTTTTTGCTATACAATCATCTTCAAGAATATATTCTTCAAAATTCAAACCAATTCTACCTCTAATGCCAGAAAAACATCAAACATAAAGGCAAGACAACATAGTTAGTTAGATCATTCTAACGTTATGATCATCAACCAAAGGGCTTCTAGCCCAACGGTATCCAGTGTTGTCCTCCCTCCTTGAGGTTGAGGGTTCAAGTCCCGTCGTGGACATAAGTGGATTTAAGGAGTAGTTTAGATTTGCTGTTTCAAAAAAAAAAAACATTATGATCATCAATCTACATCCACATATAAGGTTGAAAAGGCAAAAATAAAAACATAGTTTTTTTTTCCCAAGAAAATGATTTAGAAGGTAACAAAATTCTAAATTTTTTAAAATATACCATTTTACTTTGTTTTGTATAAAATTTACCAATAAACTAAATCATTTGTACACTTACGACCCTTAAAGTTAACCATTTGTTCATAAAACACATTTCCATCATCGACTGTAATATATGGTTAATGAAACCTAATAATGTGTATAAATATTGTAGTTTGTTGGTGTTTTTTGAACAAACTGTAAAATTTAATGGTTATGTGTACAAATGTTATGGTTAGTCGGTATTTTTTGTACCAAGGAAAGTCGAATGATATTTTTTGTACAATTTTTAAAATTTTATTACTCTCCTAAGTCATTTTTTCGTGTTTTTTTTTTCAGAACAAACCCCACCACACCCAAAAACATAAACAAATTAACAAACCCTATCTTTGTCCCTTCTTTTTCCATAAATCACCAAACATCCTAATCCAAGAACCCTTTCTCTTCCCATTCCCTAACCCATCATCACAATAATCACCCAACCCTGGTGAACCACAAAACTACCATACCCATCAAACACGTCATCGTAATGTTTATCCATTGAACCAAATCTTTCGGATACCCTTCTTCCATCGTTCATCTCAACCCTACCAAATAAAATGGTTGCTGTTGTATCTATTGCTTTCTGTTACTATTCTATTTGTACTCTCAACTTCTTCATTTATGTTTCTAAGGCCTCTTTTGCTCCTTCAACATGTTCTAGCTTTTTACTTCAGTTGAATCCCATCGTTTTTACTCTTTTCCAACTCTTCTTCAAGCTGTGTCATCTTTAATCCATTTTTTCTCTTCTTTTGATTTAGCAAATGATATCTACACATTAGCTTAAATCAGTTGATGTTTTAGATTTTTGTTTTCTTGTCATAATGCTTTTAAATCCTCCCCCCTCTCATCTATTTTCAATTTCACCAGACTTACCTTTATTATGACAAAAGTAATCAAACACGAAACATAACAAACATAAATTCAAATAAATTGAATTTTATATACAAGATTCATAATCAGAAACATACCTGAATGTTGATGTTTACAATAGAATCACAAAACATGAAAACATGTAGATTGAGGCCTGCGAATTGTAGTGTCCCAAGACAAAAAAGTTGCCTTGGTATGGGTCTGCCTTGAGGATACAACAATTAATCAAGAGAAGATCTTGATTCTAGCGAAATTCTCTATGTTCCCATCTTGATCCTTGAATTTTGAAAATATATGAAGAGTGAGCGTTTTTCTGTAACCCCCAAATCTGACTTTTGGTGATGTATTTAAAAGCTTTATATTGGCATTTAAACAATCCCAACCAACACACATGTTCAATGTGAAATTAATTGTCTAACAGTTAATTAACAATTAACAGATTTAATAAATAAATAAAGTTAATATTCGGAATTAATATAAAAAAATATTAATCAATCAATGAGACCCCAAGAGCCCAAAGGCTCAAGGCCAATTAATCACCAAATCCAAGTCTTTCAAGACCAATTAATCACAAAATCCAACTCAATCCCTTTATCCCAAATATTTAATCATATTAATAAAATACTAATAAAAGGCTTTATAAGGGAATAAAAGTTCTTCTTACTTTAAATGTGGGACAAGTCTGTTAGGTGCATAAATTGCACCTTTTCATAAGCTAATTTCATGTTTATTTATAGCATTGCATTGCATTTTTAGTGTAATATTCATTCATTTTGCATTAAAGGGCATTATCGAGGATCTATCGATATTTCACCGTTTTTTGTGGATGTTTCAGGGTGATTTGAAGATTGGAGCATGCTTAGGATGGTCAAGGGAAGCTCTCGGTGAAATTTCGGAACTTTCGGAGCTAAATTGAAGAAATGAAGAAAATCAGGAATTGACTTTTATGAACTGCATTACACGGCCCGCGCTTTGGCAAGGCATACGTTACGCGGCCGTGCTTTGGAAGTATTTCAGCACATCAGAGTCATTACACGGCCGTGCTTTGGCAAGGCATACGTTACACAGGCCGTGTAACGTGATCTGATCAAAATTTGAATTCTTAACTTCCGATTTATCATGTTCTTCTGGCATGTTAAAACATAACCTCGACTTGGAACTGTAGGGGGGCGATTTTGGTGTATCATATCATCATCTAGCATCTTGGAAACACATTATTTTACATTTTTGTAAGTTAATTTGAAGATCAAACTAGTTGAATTTGTAGTTTCACTTAGACATGTGTGGCTGATTTCTTTATCATTTCTGATTCTGGATTCCTAAGTGTTTGTTGTTAAGTTGTAATTTGCATTTGATTTTATGTTTATCATCTAGTAATCTTTGATTTGATCTTAATTATATGTTTGATTGGTTCTCTTTTCACTTGATCAATGAATTAGGGTTCTTATCAATCTAGTTAATCAAATTATGAAATTCGTATATGTTTTATGATTTGATGTTAGTAACATGCACTTAATTGGTTGTAATTAGATCAAAAAATTAGTGTAATCAAAGATTAGATGTTCATATTCCCGAACTTATGAGGAATGTTGGATATTGTTGGTAATTGTTGCAAGATCTTAATGTCATTTAATGATTTGATGCAAGAGCTTGTTTGAATTGAATCAATTAAATGAAGTTTTATTTAAAGAACATGTTTTGAATAAAACACTTTTGTCAACTTGGGTATTAGAGCTTGTTAATATCTAAATTACCAACCTAGATTGAACATGAATCACCGTCATATTACATCCTACAACATAATGCATGTATAGGAATCCGAATCGGAAATGTATTTCTTTTATTGATTTTTAGTATTAATCTTGTTTACTTATGAAGTTTAATTCTAGTTCAAACATAACCCCACCCCCACTTTAATATTATTTGTATGATGTGTGAGAATATGGCTAAATAAGAAGTCCCGTATTCCTGTGGATCGACCCTGCTTATTCTATACTATCTTTAGTGTAAGAAGTAGCAGTGATTTGAGTTTTATTTTATTTTATCCCATTATTTGTTGGTTTGACAGCCAAACAAAGTCCCATAAAGGTTATTTTTTTTAAACAAAGTTCTAACAATACCCTATATTTTCTATTCAAACTGCAAGAATAACCCATATTTGAATAGAAGATAAGTGAACTTTGATATCCAAATAAGGGAATTAGATATGACATGCATCTAAATAAGTAAGATATGCCATGCATCTGAATAAGTGTTGTAAAACTTGAACCTTTCATAGTGAGTACTACTTGGATTTACTTTGTGGGTAGTGAACTAGAGTCTCGAACTAACCAATTTTTATAGTAGAACTAAAACAAGAAGTATCACACATATTATATCTAAGCATAGATCATTTCTTACTGCTGTGTTCATCATCTAAAGTTCTTTTCCTAGAGCAGGAAACCACTTTCCCTTTATCCTTAAAAGGAAAAATATTTTCAAAGAATTCAGCCTTTACGGATTCCATGATGGTTTGATTATGGATATCATCAACATGTGATTTATACACAAGAAACCTATAGGCTCAACTATTCATGGTAGGGCCAAGGTAGATGCAATCTATGTTTTTTGGTCCAATTTTAGTCCTCTTAGGAAGATGTACTTGTTGTTGGATAAGGTGTTTAAGTCCATAACTATTTCTGGTATGTACTTGACCCGACCCGGCATGGTCCATTTGGGTTGCATGGCATCATGCATTTGGATAGACTAAATGAGAGAAATAACACTTGTGGTTTATTAATATATTATAAGTTCTAATATATTAATAGTATTATTTAATTAGTATTGATCAAGAATTAATCTAGGATTAATTAAGTGATCAAAAGATGACTAATTAAATATATGGGTTGATTATGTAAATTATCCATAACTTGTATAGTGGGCTAAAAGGCTTCATGGATAATCAAGTTGGGTTAAACCCATTGGATGCTCCATGGAGGCTCCATGGGAGTTACAAACCCATGGGTCATGGAAATGAAGAGTCATGCCACATTAGGGTTTACATGGTGTAACCCTAGATGTGA